AAAAAAAAAAATAGAAAAAAATTCATATGTCAAAATCTTAACCCATAATGTGATATTATAAGAAAGTAAGGTCTTGGCTGGGTGCCTGTGGCTCAAGTGGCTAAGGCGCAAGTCATGTACACCCAAGGTGGTGGGTTCAAATCCAGCCCGGACCTGCCAAACAACAATGACGGCTGCAACCAAAAAGATAGGCAGGTGTTGTGGCGGGCACCTGTGGTCCCAGCTACCTGGGAGGCTGAGGCAGAAGATTCACTTAAGCCCAGGAGTTGGAGGTTGCTGTGAGCTGTGATGGCACAGTACTCTACCCAGGGGGACAGCTTGAGGCTTCTGTATAAAAAAAAAAAAAAAAAAAAAAGTAGGCATTGATGAGGATTATCAATGCAGGGTGGTGTACTTACAGGAGGTTTCCTTCAGAAGGCCTAAAATATGTTGCTAAGGTATTAAGCATACCTTAATCCATAGTCTTGTGGGATAGAAGAGAAATTTGGGTTCTGAAATCTCCGACTATTTCAAAGTAGCAGGGGCATGGGACCCCTGGACCAAACAGGCTTTATACTATTTCACACATGGAGAGTGCTTTCCAGGTTATTAAGCACTGTTAAGTCCATTTCTTATGTCCTCCTCATGACAGCCCTATGAAATGGACTGGGCAGACAGTCTTCATTCCATATATGGAAAAATCAAGTCACAGGGCCAGTCAGAAGTAGGACCAGAGTCTTCTGACTCCTTATTAAACGTGCTTCCTCCACCACACCATGCTACTGAATTCTAAAAGGGGAAGAAACTGCTTATTTATTTATTTATTTATTTATTTTTATTTACTCTGTCTCACTTTGTTGCCCTCGGTAGAGTGCAATGGCATCACAGCTCACAGCAACCTCCAACTCTTGGGCTTAAAAGATTCTCTTTCCTCAGCCTCCCAAGTACCTGCCACAGGTACTGTAGCTTCTGCCACAATGTCTAGCTATTTTTTTGTTTGTTTGTCTATTTGTTTGTTTGTTTGTTTTTAGCAGGCTGGGACTGTGTTCAAACCCACCAGCCCTGGTGTATGTGGCCGGCACCCTACCCACTGAGAGCTACCGGCGCCTCCTGAGAAACTGCTTATTTAATAGTAGCCCCTCCCACTTAAGTTGAAACTGATTGGCCTGACACATTCAGCCATTGGTTGAATCTATGCCCCTCTGCTTTTTATCCATGCAGCCATGGGGGTGTTGATGTCTAAGCGGCAGACAGTGGAGCAGGTACAGAAGGTGAGCCTGGCTGTATCTGCCTTCAAGGATGGGCTGCGGGACAGGCCTTCCATTCGACGCACAGGCGAGCTGCCAGGGTCCCGCCGTGGCACAGTAGAGGGCTCTGTCCAGGAGGTACAGGAAGAGAAAGAAGCAGAGGCAGGCGCCCCAGTGGTCCAGGAAGAGAGCAGTGTCAACCGCGCAGCCTGGGAACGGCTTAGAGATGGGCGTGGAGTGGAACCTGAGGAGTTTGACAGGAGCAGTCGTTTTACACCACCTGCCTTCATCCGCCCCACCCGAAAGCTGGATGATGACAAGCCTCCAGAAATCTGCCTAGAGCCCAGGGAGTCTGTGAGTGTTCAGTTAGGGCAGGATCCACAAGTCTTAGTCCATCTGAGGATCAGGCAGCAGGACTGGGGAGGCGTGGGTGTAGTTAAGGTGAGACTCAAATTTGGAGCTGAGTCCAAAACAATCCTTGAATTTCTTCCACAAGAGTAAAAATATTTGTTACATTCTGGAATTCATCTCAGTGAAACCCTTGGGGCAATGGGTGATAAGGAATGACACCATAGTGGGTCTTCTGCCAACCTTCCTGCTCATGGATTCTCAACCACAGATAGTACTACTCCCTGTAGGAAGTATTAGGAGGGGAGAGTTTGGGGAGTCACAATGACTAGAGGTTGCTACTGGTATTTGGTGCCAGGAAAACCAGGGATGCTAAATGTCCTGCAGTACCTGGGACAATCTCTCAGATAGATTGTTTTTTGCCCAAAATGCCAGTAGCATCCCTGTTCATAAACATAGTCATAAAAGCCTGAACAACTGGAAGAGCCTCCTGGTTCTTGTTTTCCAGAAAGAAAGCTCTATTGCCTTAACAGTGGCTTCAGTTAGACATGTTTGTTTAGACTGCTCCAGGGATACTCAGCCCCATGCAGGTAGCTCTGTGCTTAGTGGCCATAGGATCTTGCTGCCTATGCTTACACATCCCTACTCACTCCTGCCATCTTTCTTCAGGTTGTCAACGATGAGATGTGTGATGTCTGTGAGGTTTGGACAGCTGAGAGCCTGTTCCCATGCAGAATCTGCACCAGGGTTTTCCATGATGGCTGCCTGCGCCGTATGGGTTACATCCAAGGAGAAGGTGCAACGGAGGTGACAGAGATGGCCCACACGGAAACAGGCTGGAGCTGCCACTACTGTGTGAGCCTGGACAGCAGGGACAACAGGACTTGGCACTTTTCCTGGAGGCCCAGTCTTAGAACACTTGTTCCTGGGCAGTGACCTAAAGAGTTTCTAATAGTACATATGAGGTTCCTAGAGTTAGGATGGGGTTTCTCAACCTCAGAACTGTTGACCTTTGAGTCTGGATGGTTCTTTGTGAGGGGGCCAGATGCACTGTAGGATGTTTAGCAGCATCCCTGGCCTCTAGTCTACTAGATGCCAGTAGCACACACCCCGAGTGGTGATAACCAAAACTGTCTCCAAATATTACCAAATGTGTCCTGGAAGGAACAAAATCACCCCCAGTTGAGAACCACTGAGATAGAGGATTAACTGAGTTGAATGAGTCCTAATGACTCAAAAGTATTTCTGTTTGGAGCAGTGCTTTCTCTAATAGTCTGTAGTTGTCATTAATTGTATTTATCTGAAAACCAACCTGAGATCCCAACCAGCTTGCTTCCAATAGGGATAGATTCTGTCACAGGAAAACATCTTAGTTCTGAGATCTTACTTGGCCATCCCTTGGCTCTTAAAAGCATTTGTTCTTTATCTCTGAAGTGGTCAATATGTGAATTACATAACAAAGCTCTATTGATTCAGAACTCTGCAAATTATACATAGTATATAAATGCCTTACCTTTTAATGAAGAACAGAGTCTAAGGTTTCCACTGGAAGCCAGATTCATATCCATTTCTTACCACACCTGAATAGAGTGCAAGCCTTGGCATGCTGATCTGTGTCTTGCAAATCTCTCCATCATTTATTGATCTCAGAGTGAGGAGCATCTGCTGATCCCCCTCTTATTCTTACCGCCTAGGAAAAAGCAGAAGCGTGCTGTTTTCTAACAAATAACTCTCTCTATGGCTTGTGCATAAATAAAGTATAGAACAGTTATTTTGAAACACTTAAACACCTTTCTCCCTAGATTATACCACCGCAGACCCTGCTGTACAGACAGCCTTCTCATACCAGTCACCATAAATCTGATGCCTGGCTTTCCTTTGGTGACTGTTTCTCCATGTGCTGCGGCTGTGTGACTGGGTTAAAGTGTCTCCTTCCTGACCCCTAGGAACCCACTGCTCCCTTCCCAGGCTTCTGTCACTGTCCTACCATCATTACCACCACTCTCCACTGGGCTTTTCACAAAGGTTTCTTTGAGGCTCCTGCCCTTTCTTTCCTTCTCTTCATAGTCAGGCTTCTTAAGAGAACTTCATCGTCTCCTTGTGGCTCCTCAATCACTTGTAAGTGACTTCTGCATCCATCATTCTACTGAATTGTCTCTTCCTAAGGTCACCAATGACCTTCTAAACATTAAACCCAGTGACCTTTTCTCAGGCATCTTCTCACTTAACATCTTTGAAGTAGTTGGTGCTTCTTTATTTTCCCCTCTTTTTTTAGGGTTTACATATTTTTATGAGAATTATCACACAAGATATAGAAACTAGAGAAAATCAACAAAATCCCACTTCACTTGTATAACCAGTATTAACATTACCTCCTACATTGTGTAACTCTCTTTTCTTAGTATCCAGTACCTTCTTCTCTACTGATTCTCCTCCAACCCTCTTTTTTGACCTTTCTCAATGCCCTTAGTTTCTTGCCTCAGTCCAAAATTCTGGTGTATCTCTGGGTTCTGTTATTAACACTTCTTTTCTCACTGTACACTGTCTCTTTGGGTGATTTCATCTACAGCCACCATCTAAGCACTAATGACTCCCATATCTCTGTGTCCAGACTTAAATTTCCTGTCTCTTAGACTTATCCATCTTGATGTCTCCTAGGTATTTCACATTCAATGTGCCCCCAAATGAAATGGAGGAAGCCTCCACTTCTTATCTCTATGAATAGTAGTACCACCACCCCCCAGTTATCAATCCCAGCTTATTTCTCTTCCTCATCCCTCACATCCAATAAGTCAACAGGTCCTACTGATGCTGCCTGTACTGTCGCTCACATCTCCCCCCTGACTTCTCCCCTCTCACGTTTCAATTTAGCCACTTATCTTTTCTTACCTGTGCTATTGCAATAGCTACCTAACCTCTCATGCCTCCCTACACCTCCCTGATTTTCTGTTTTCTCTAGTTTCCAAATCTTATATGATAATTCTCATAAAAATACACAACCCTCCAGACTTTACTCCAGCAATCCATTTTTCACACAGCAATCAGAGATCTGACTGTGGCACTCTCCATTTAAAAACCCTTCAGTGGTTCTCCTTTGCCCTCCAAATAAAAGCCTGGGCTAGAGTGCCCTGGCCTCAGCGTAGCTCACAGCAACCTCAAACTCCTGGGCATAAGTGATCCTTGTGCCTCAGCCTCCCAAGTAGCTAGGACTACAGGTTCCCACTAATTAATTAATTTTCTATTAATAGAAAACCACTATTAATTATTTTTCTATTTTTAGTAGAGACAGGGTCTAACTTTGCTCAGGCTAGTATTATATCAATTTTTTTAAAGTGTTGTTAGGCACAGTGACTCACTCCTAGACTCCCAACACTTTGGGAGGCCAAGACAGGAGGATTGCTTGAGTCCAGGAATTTGAGGCAAGCCTGGATAATGTATTAAGACCCCATCCCTACAAAAGATAAAAGAAAAAAATTAGGTGTGGTTGCACACACCTGTCACTTCAACTACTTGGGAGGCTGAGGCAGGAGGATTGCTTGAGCCCAGGAGTGTGAAGTTATAGTGAGCTATGATTGTGCCACGGCATTCTGGGGGACAGAGTGAGATCCTATCTCAAAAAAGAACAAATTATAGAAAAAAATGAAGAGTGGTTTAGGTTCTTTATGAAACCCACAAATGAATACTCATAAAATATCTGCTCTTGTTCTTTACTGGTCTTTTAGGTAAAAAATTAACTTTCTACTAGAATCTTTGATAGTTTAAGGACTATCTAGTAATTTTAATGAAATAAGGTATCAGTGCTTATTTGGAATTGGAACTTTTATAGCACCATGAAAAATTCATTTGAGTTTAGAAACCTTGTCACAATGGCATCTTTTAAACCCTACTAGAGTTATTTAAAGTGATATAAATCAGCTCGGCACCCGTAGCACCAGTGGTGAGGGCGCCAGCCACATACACCAAGGGTGCCGGGTTTGGACCTGGCCCAGGACAGCTAAACAACAATGGCAACTGCAACAAAAAATAGCCGGGCGTTGTGGCAGGCACCCATAGTCCCAGCTACTTGGGAGGCTGAGGCAAGAGAATTGCTTAAACTAAAGAGTTGGAGGTTGCTGTGAGCTGTGATGTCACAGCACTCTACCAAGGGCAACAGAGTGAAACTCTGTCTCAAAAATAAATAAATAAATAAATTGATACAAATCATTAGAAACAGAGGTAGAATTATACTTCTTAAATAAAATACTTCCGAGCACAGCCTAACACAGAAGCCCAATACATGAAATTGATACAGAGGGATGTGCTCTAGGTTATAGAGGTAAGGATTCACAGTGCCCTATCAGTGAGTCCTTATTCCCTACAGTAGCTTTCTAAGACACTTCCAAGAGCTCCCTGGGTTAGCTTGAAGAATAATTTGAAAATAGTTCTTCCCCAGAACTATTTTAGTAAAAAGGACTCAGGGGTAGGCTCAGGATATCTGGGTTCTGAGAAAGATCTGCCCAGAGTTAAGGTAACTCAGAGCAAGTCCTTTATTTACCTTTTCTAGTGCCTCAGTCTCCTTGATTGTGAATAGAAGGCTGGGATTAAATGATCTTGGAATTGCTTTCTATTTGAAATACTATTTCTATCCTTCTTGATCCTTGCCTTTCTTACTGGCTTGTATGGCCAGTGACTCAGCTCTTCCTTATTTTCAGGACAACCTCAACTTGCTGCTTACTGAGGAGGAAATGTATAGCCTCACAGAGACCTTTCAGCAGTGCAAAGTCATCCCTGGTAAGGTTGGATGGTGCTGCTAGGATGGAGAGGGGTTGGTCAGATTGCTCCTTCATGCTTGCTAAGCTGAACTATGAAAGGAGTATTTTAGATTTAGGGGTTGGGGGGACAAGAGGCGGATGATTCCTTGTTCTTGAGTTGTTGTCCACAGACCCTGGCTATGGGAGGTAAAGATTCAACAAGAACTGTGGGTGTGGGGGCATTTAGGGTATCCTAGAGGTGAGTGGAGGTGCCTTGGATGGACAGGTGTGGCCAGCATGGGGTGCCTCCCACAGATTGCTCCCTGACACTGGAGGACTTTCTGCGCTATCGCCACCAAGCAGCGAAGCGGGGGGGAAGTGACAGAGCCCTGAGCGAGGAGCAAGAAGAACAGGCAGCCCGCCAGTTTGCAGCCCTGGACCCTGAACATCAAGGCCACATAGAGTGGCCTGACTTCCTGTCCCATGAGTCCCTCCTACTTTTGCAGCATTTGCGTCCTCAGGTGAGGGCCAGCTGGGGTAAATGTCCATGAAATTCGGGTTATAGGACTAGGAAGCATGCTGGATGGTTGGGAGAACAGTGGATACTATCTGAGCAGTGACTAGTACACAGAAATGGGCCCAGAATCCAGCCCATGCCCAGGTTGGGAAACTAACTAAGGAAGATTGATTGCGCTGGATTCCGCTACCAGAAAGGCTCTAGGCAACTTCTAAAGGAGGCTGCAAAGGGGGGAATAGAGGTAGGATTCTCTGTGGATTGCTGGTTTACAAGATGTCACCTCTGAGATCTTGTCTCTTCTTCCCCAGAACTCTCTGTTGAGGCTTCTGACAGTTAAAGAGCGAGAACGAGCCCGAGCCACCTTCCTGGCACTGGGCAGTGGGAATGCCATCAGTGAGGCAGAGTGTGGCCGCGCCCAGCATTCTTGGTTTTGCAAACGACTTACAGAAGCTCCATCCTGCAGTGTCAGGTCTGCTTCCTACAAGTCCCTGCCCCCACTTGGCCTCCCTTGTTGCTTTTCTCTTGCCAGTGGCCCTTGGTGTAAAATATACCTCCCTGCTTCCCCTGCCAACAGCTGGATGAGGATCCTGCTGTGCATGAGGCAGAGGATGATGATGCCCATTGGCCAAGGGATAGGGCAGCTTCTATTCTAAGCTCTGTGGTGCCACATGTCAGAAAGGCCTGGACGTGCATGTCTGGGGTCATGGGCTAAACAGTGTTTGGGAGGGGCAGGGGCCAGGCCTTTCACTATCCCATTACTAACCATACGTCCTTGTGCTCAGCAGCATCAGCCATGTGGGTCCCATAGCTGACAGCAGTCCAGCCAGCAGCAGCAGCAAGAGTCAGGATAAGACCCTGCTGCCCACAGATCAGGAGTCCAGGTGAGTAGAACCTCCTTACCTGTCTGTCTGTACCCTCTACACCCCTCAACATATACACACAAGTACAAGCAGCCATTACCCCACTTCCCAGAAACCACCTCCAGGACCACACATGTTCCTCCAGATCCCTAAGGCCAGCCAGCTGGTTACCTGGCTTGGCAGCACAGCCAGCCATAACCATGTCAGGCATGAGTCAAGGCTTCTCTGAGTTATATGCCTACCCAAAGCATGCTGCCCTGGAATCAGATCTCATGAGCTTTCAGGCCCTGCAACCAGCTTTATGAACCTCCTCTTTGCTTCCACTGTAGATTTGTGGACTGGCCCACCTTCCTGCGAGAGAATGTCCTCTACATCTTGGCTGCTCGCCCCAACAGTGCAGCTATTCACCTGAAACCCCCAGGATAGCATGGAGCAGAGAAGCTTGGTTCGGGGACAGTGACATCCTCTCCCTCCTTTCCTCTCTCCCTTCCCCCTCCAACCTCTGGCACTAAGACTCATGGGGATGGGGCCCTGCCAGCATCTTAACTTGTCACTGAGCTGTAGAGCACTGAAATTACTATTGCCTTCACAACAGAGGCAATGAACGCATTGCCACAGCAAAGAAGCCCTGGAAGCTGTAGCCGTACCCGCTCCTGGACCACCTCCTACCCTGACATAGACTGGACCTGCCACCACACACATATGTGCATGCACTGCACACACATGCACATACATGCCTAGCTGTCCATGCCTTCAGAAGCCTGTTTATTTTTGAGTTGAAACAGGACCAAAGTCCCTTTGTGAAGGCCCTAGTATAGAGGAGGGAGTCTTTATTCACCCTTTCTGTTGACCAGTTCTGATTGCCAATAGATAAGCCTCTGGCCAAGTGATTCTTAACAAGGGGACATCTCAGACTCACATGCCTTCCTTGAGATGCTGACAGACTCCTCTTCCCTCATTGAAAATCCTTTCTGTGGGGCAGTGCCTGTGGCTTATTGAGTAGGGTGCCAGCCCCACTGAGGGTGGCAGGTTCAAACCCAGCCCAGGCCAAACTGCAACAACAACAACAAAAAATAGTCGGGCGTTGTGGTGGGCGCCTGTAGTCCCAGCTACTCGGGAGGCTGAGGCAAGAGAATCGCCTAAGCCCAGGAGTTGGAGGTTGTTGTGAGCTAAAATGCCACAGCACTCTACCAAGGGCAATAAAGTGAGACTGTCTCTTAAAAAAAAAAGAAAAGAAAAGAAAAGAAAGAAAATCCTTTCTGTGGTGAGCCACTGTCACTAGTAGGTGTGTACAATGTGCCTCGGCTGTATTGAGGTGGGAGAATAGTTGAAAACCACCGCTGCAGTTCAGCCTATTATTTATTCAAATTCTAATTCCAGGTGGCAGAGAAAGCAATTAGCTAGTAGAATCCCGGTTAGAAATGGGGCCTCTCCCAGAGACACAAAATGCCAGGAACCTCTCAGCCAGGTCATCCAGGTCCAAAAGTCTGTAGCAGAACAGTTAAAAACCAAGGCGAGTCTTCTTAGCTCTATTTTTCAGGTGGTAGCTCATGCCCAGATCCACCAGGGCTCTGAAAGGAACAAATACGATGACAGGAGTTACAACCCTCTGTTATATGCTTTAGCCAAGTCAGCTACCACAGAGCAACAAGGACATAGTCTGGATGGAAGAGGAGAGGCTCAGGCTCTTGGATTGTTCCTGCTCAACTCAGCCATAGACTTAGGAAAGTGACCTCTGTGTGGAGATTGCAGCCAGCCTCTTCCACAGCCCAAGAAAGAGCAGCTCTGCAGACGCCACAGCAGACTCCTTTCAGCCATCCTGACAATGAGGACAGGAGGCTGCAGCTTAAGAAGATTTGCATCTCAGCTCTTTCAAGCAGGGGAGTCCTGGGAAAACCTCATAGAAGTTTTCCCCTTCTCCCTGGGGGTGTGCCCTCAGTTGCTGCTTCTCCCACTGCTCACTGCATGTCCTTCTCCACCAGGCTGGGTCCTCCTGACATGGAAGGACTTTGGAGACAAGCAGAGGCAGAGGCTGCCACAGTGCACCAAGCCTGGACTCCAAGCCCACCTCCCCTTCCTAAGTTCTTGTGAAATTCTCAAGTCAGTGCAGGTTGTGCATCACCCTGGGGTCCAGGTTCTAGGTTTCTGTTTCCAATCTAATGACTTAAGTGTTGCCAGATATGACTACCAAGAGTTATTCAAGATGGAGTTGAGCTCAGTCATGCAGAAGCTAACATATCTTCATTGCTCAAGGCACTCACGCTAAATTGAGTACTTACAGAAGAACGTTCATATCTCTCAGTGTTGAGATCCTCAGAGGAAAGCAAGGAGCTGCAGCCAGGGACTGGTAAGAGCCCTGTGTAGTCTCCTCTTGTAGGAATCGCTTGAGCTGGGAGCAGGACAATTAACTACTGGGGTTGAATTACTTAGGACTGAAATGAAGCAGACAGGAGACAAATATTCATATGTATGGCCCTGAACATTTCAAAACCCACATCTTTTGTAAATACTCCTCAGCTATACTCCCAGGACTGATGAGGGGTCATTATTCAATCTAGTCAAAAGAACAGAAAAGAAAAGAAAGCACATGAATGTTGGGCCAAGGACTGCATCTGAAGTGACCAAGCCTGGGGGTTTGCGCTAAGAACATTAAAGTACATAAAGCACAGGGGCTCTTGCTTACTCTCCTGGCAGATCACCCTCTGTGCCCGTGGCCTTGGGCTGCTTGATCTCATGGAGAGGACATTTTAAGTAAAGACAGCACTGGGCTTTGAGATATGAACAGCTTTTTTCTCCTGCCTCATCAGTCACAGGGACTGGAAGTCCATCTTTTGCCCTGACCCTCCACAGATCAAGGTAACGCCTACCTCTTTGGAGTTGCTGCTTCTAGCTCTCTGTGAGTGAATGGTGACAGTCCATGGGCTGCTGGATCGAGCCTGCTCTATCCCAGGCCCTGGAGTTCTGTCATGACAGAGCAGGCCCATTTGGGATTACCCTCCTCCCTATTCTAGGACAGCAAGCTTCCTTGGTGAGGGCGTGCTGCAGAGGGCCCAGGAAATGCTACCTCCAGCAAAGAATAGATTCCCTGGTCCATAAGAGTCCTAGGAAGTAGAAAAGCACAGAGGAGCAGTTGGGCCCTTCACCATAGGCATCTAACTTTTTACCAAATGGGAAGTTTCATTGCTCCCCTAGTCCAGTCCAGAATTGCAGAAGTCCCATCCCAAACCCCCATCCAGAATCTTCCATTATAGTGCCCTAATCCCTAGAGCCCCTCTGCAGTATGCGTGGGGATTTTAAAACATTTATAAACCTAGTGAGGCCCATTCCCTTTTCAAGCCCTTCCATCACTGTGACTCTTTGAAATTCTGCCAAGTACAAATATGAATGTCTGGCTCTCATAAGAGTATGAGAAAGTGTTTTAATCTTTTCTTGGCTGCCCAAAATTGAGATCAGTGCTTTTCCAAGCACACCACCACCACCACCACCACCATCCCCAACCAAGGAAGGCTTTGGTTACAGATCTGTTCCCTATGAAAATCACTTGCTAGTTTTCTCTTCCCTGTGTTCATGTTTAAATAGGGGGCAGCTGGATAAACAGAGCTGCAGGGACAGAGGGCTAGCTGAGCATGTGGCTGTGGCCATGTAACCTCACCAGATCTGCTTCTTGGTTTTTTTCTCCTGAAGCCAGCCTTCCCTAACAGAATGGTTGAGCAGTGGCCCCTGTGGGATCTAGGGATGGAGCAGTGCCCTCACGCCTAGGGACTGATCCAAGTCTCAAGTTTTCTTCTTTAAGGACAGCAACAACAGAAACCATGAGATACATTGCTTCTTTCTGCCCTCAGCCCAAGCAACTGGGGCTGGAAGTGCAAACATTGACTTTTCTGGCTCTGGTGCTCCCTATGGGCTGTCACCTTGGCCTTGTTTAAGTGGCCAGGTCTTGGGGTTCCCCTAATTCTACCACCAGTATGGAAAGCACAGAACTAAACTGCCAGGGTTGTGCCTCTTACACCAAAGCACAACCTCAACCATTGCAGGTATCACAGCTTCAGTAAAAGTGGTGCCAGGAAGATCTAAAGCCAAGATGAAAGCTTAGCAGAAACTGTCAGGGCCTCAGGCCAGCCTTGACTACCCTAGAGCCAAGAGTAACCTCCGGGCAGGACTAAGAATTGGTAGCAGGCTCTAGTGACCCTGCAAGCATGTTCCTTTCAGACTAGTAAAGGCAAATAACATGCATGGTACTAAAAGGCAGAACAAGCTTGATAACCAGAATTTCAGGACATCCTGGCAGCACCTATAACTATGGTCCCTTTTTACCCCACTCCTATTTACAGTGAAATAAAATTGCTACTTTTATTCAGGCCACTTCGTTTGAACTTGCCCAAGGTATGTCTCTGGGCCCCTGGCTGCAGCCAGACAATGGGATCTCCTAGAGTGGGGGATCTTAATGCATAATGCCTGGTCCTGACAGCTCAGCTCTGGAGTGGGGTGGGACCAGGCATTTTTCCTGTTGTTGCTTTCCTGCTGCCACTATTTTTGGCAACCTTGAAGGGAAAAGAAAATGAACATGTTAACAGAATTTCCACTAGCCCCAACCAGCACTCTGGGCCTCATGCCTCAACGAGCATTGCAGAGAGGTCAGTCTGGTCTGGGCCAGTGACTAAGAAGCTCAGTTGCAAACCAGTCTGCATAGCACTGGGTAGGCACAATCACAGATGAGACTTCAAGCAGCAAGGCCTCTCCATATTCCTGATGAAGCAAAGGACTTCAGGCTTACCTCCAGCCAGTTGGGGTTGGCCTGTGATCTGTGTCCCAGCCAAACAGCTTATGAGGAGGGCTCTGAGAGCACTTGAATAACAATGCAGGATCCATGCCCCCTGGTCCCTCATTCCTTTCCCATGTGCTTTTCTGCAGAAGGTAACTTGACAGTGAGCTGAAGGGGATACCCCCAGGCCCTGTCTCTCCATCTCTACTGCTGCATGCTCCTCCCTGTGGCCAACCTTCACAGATACTCCAGAAGGAGCTGCTGCTCCCAAGGCTGGGCACAGTGGAAATCATAATAAAGAGATTGTGATGCTATTTTGGCTTCCCGTTTCCTGTTGTTTGGGGAACCTGCCATTTCTGTTTAGTTTCTCATTATTGACTAATTCCTGAGTCTGAGCATAAGACAGGGCAGCTGTGGCCTCCAAGAAGATAGCAGTGCACTATGTCTCTCTTTCTAGAGCTTTCCTGGCCCTGCCTTTTCCAATAAGCAAGTGACGGGGATAGAGGTACCACATGTGCAGACCCAGATGTTCAGATACCTCTGTGTTCCACTACAGATACAGAGGGGACATGGCACTGAAGGGAGAATCCAGAGTGATTGAAGAAATTGAGACAGGTCTCTCGATCTGTCTTTTATATTGTTTATCCCTTTCCACCAAGAGCTA